TGGTTTATTTGTTGCGTTCGCCTGTCTGCTTAGCTCAAAACAACCGCGCCTGGCTTGACGGAGAAACCAGGAGAACAGCTGAGCATATTTACGACAGTGCACTTTTACTTTCGCCCTCTGGGGGGAGCCTCGCTGGAAAATCAACACCGGTTGCATAGTGTACCTTTAAATAACACACCGTAGCTGCTATTCTATCAAGGTAGCAGCTTGACCAACCTTGTCATGGTGGGTGTAGGTATGAGGATCTTGAAAAGGTCTTCAGGCAATCAACTTTTTTATTGCTTCATCTGTTTTAAGGTATTTAATTAATGCTCTGACTGTAGATAATAACAAAATTGGACCAAAAAAAGCGTTCTCTAAACTAACTTGTCTGTCCGATTTTGAAGAGTTGCAACAACAAAAGGAGAGCTTTCTGGTCCCTTATTCATTTATATATGTTTTATTCTATTTAACCTTTATCTATCCAGGAAAATCCCATTGAGATTTAAAAACTTCTTTTTCACAGAAGTCCTAGGTCAAAGGCAGCAAAAGTTACATCACAATCACAACAGAAGCTTAACCATTGAAATTAAGACAAAACTTATGAAAAAAATTAATTTCAAGGAGACAATCTCAAGTGCTCTCAGTCTGGTCTTGTACTGAATTCACTTGATTTCTACTTACTTTCTTTCTTTTTACAGAAATGTCCATGTAGAAGGACTCTTGGCACTGCATATTATAATTATAAGCCAACAAAACAGGAAATCCTGATAAAGTACAACTCTTGTGTTTATTTCTGTATTCTTGTCTTTGTTTTGTTAGAGGTTCCAATAATTTTAGTATTTGGCTTGGAGTTATATTCAGTAATTAATCTGCAACCAATTTTCTTTCCCATTAAGTTGATTATTTCAAATTAAGATTTTTTTTTTTTTTTACATCTTTACTTAGATACTTTGCTTTTTAAGTTCAAGGTTAGTATTGTTTAAGAGTTTTTAGACATTTTCCCCAGAAATTGTACACACTTAAGAGGACTGTGATGATCTAGCTGTTGTGTCAGAAAAGTAGCATTTAACCTATCTTTTCTTTATTTCATTTGATAATAGGAGTCCCTTATAATTATTATGATAGCCTTTTTTAGCTTAAAATTGAACATCAGATGTCCTTTTCTTATGGCTACAGTTAAACTAACAGCTTAACAGTAGCATAACATAGCTGCTCCTTTAAGTAGATTTATGTAGGTTAGAAAATAGTAATTTTGTTGACCCTAAACGTATTGACAATGTAAATCTTTTCACAGGAAAAAAAACTAACTGGATGAAAAGCTGCCCACCCCAAAACATTACATTTATTTAGAAAACATATAGAGTTTAACATCATATCCTGCTGAAAATAAATGAATTATTGAAATAGTTGATGTTGACGTACAGATAACTTGGACCTGTGGTTCCTTCAAAAGCATCTTCATGAATATGATGGAGGTTCCTGTTGTCTCTCAATATTCTGCAAAACACATAAAGAAAAGGAAAAAAAGGCATTATATCTAACCTCAAGCTCAAACTGCAGTTTTCTGCTCAACAAATAATTTGAAAGGAAACTTAAGATGACATGGAAATGAAGAACACTGCCCCGAGACTATTACTCATCTCCTTATTGTTATCTGGAGTTTGCACCGAGGAGGATAAATCTTATTTTTAGACTTCAGGGTGTCTGTACGCATCTCGTCCTCATCAGCATTTAGCATTGTTGTACAAGGCAACAAAACAACAGAGCATACAATCTTTGTTTAGTCTTACATAAGGGTTATTTACTGGTACACTTCGTTTTTTTGATTAGAGAGGGAAATCCTGTGCACTTAACCGAAACCAGCTGCTGTGCTACAGTGTATCATATTAGCATTAGAAAAATTTCAAAGAATACAAACTACCGTACTTACAGAGTGTTGAGCTTGGTTCCGTTAAAGGCATGGGATTTAATTTCCTTGAAGCCATTTCTAACCAGGTTCCTATAGAGGACACAGTCTTATTAATACTTTTTCACTGCTAAATGCATGTATTGCCATGGTCAGTGAGCCGAACATTTAAATATGTAAGATTAATCAGTGAAACAAATAGTGACAAATTGTGTCTTTTAGCTCGGATAATGAAATAACAAAGAGGATAAGGCCTTTGCACTCACATGTCAACAGACTCCTTTGTAAGTCCCTGGAAGGAATTGGCAGGAATGATGTCGATCCTCATGTTGTCTGCCATTTCTCTGCAGGCGGAGAAGATAACGCTCATTTAGGCTGCTTGGCTCCATTCTCAGTTAGACTAAATTATGCATATTTATACAAATATGAGCTGTTTGAACTGTGTCACAGTAAGACAGAGTATCAGTCAGGGTTGGTGGCAGTGTGACATTGATAGAACAAAATTTAGAATGAATGGCTCCGGTCCAAAATATGAAATAGGAGAGCAGTTATATGACTTCCAACTGGACTTTTATCAGGTGTAGAGAGGCTGGGACTTGAAATGAAAATACTCACAGGATGATATTTGATGCAAGGGTGGATATGGTTGTCAAGTCTGGGAAGTGTGTTAGGCCTGTGTTTGAGATGCTCCTGTTTTGAAACATGGTAGACAAAGTTTGCCATGAATAGATCAAAAGAATCATAAAACAATTATATTTATTTTATTTTATTTTTTTTTCTCATACCTTTTAAAGATCTTATATTTTTAAATCAGAAAAATAAAGATTTTGAGGATAAACTTTTTATTTCCACTTTATATTGAAATAGGTTTGAGATTTTCTCTCAGAATTTATCATCTTGGATTGATTTATAGGTCAAATTAAAGCAAAAAAGAAATTTGATACTATCTTTTTACTAGCCTTAAAAAAAAAGAAGACACAATCTCATTGGTCTTAATGTCTCAATACTGGAAACCAAAGAAAAATTACTTGCTCGTCTAAATGTATAAACTATGAACATGCAATAAAAAATGCCTTACAAATATTCCAGCCTAGGCAGGTCAGTGAAGGCACCGCTTTCAATGACTCTGAGACTGTTGATATTCTGCACTGAGCTGCAGAAACAATAATTGGGAAACAAATCAGTAATTACAAATGTCTGATATACAATAGCATTCACATCCGCACAAAATATTTATGTATCAGTTGCACTGGAGCTAAATGATTAAACTCTCTGCTTTGTAACTGACAGAATAATGAAATGAAACTTAAATGACATCCATATGAATAATTTCTCCCGTCATATTTGAAAATGATATACAGGGAGGGGGAAGGGTAAAATGTCACTTAGCCTACATCTGCGCCAGACTATGGAGAGAGAAGAAGGCATGCTTCTGAATCTTTGCGATGCAGTCACTCTGGGAGATCTCTCTGTGGTGCAAAGAAATCACTCTCCATCAGTCATTAGTTTAAAAAAAACACACTTCAATTATCACAGATGAAGGTGGTAAATATGGCATGTGTTTTCTCTCTGTTAGGTTTGATTTAGAATACTTAACTTTTAATTCAGTGTAAAAAAAATAGGACAGACATGATTGATGCACTGTTGCAGATCATCAGGGAAACATCCCAAAACAAAATTCACGTTTTCTAGGCCAAGTAACACGCACATGCCAGGACCTCATGTGTGGAAAAGCTCCAAACATACATCAACTGATGCTTTTGGGTCAGAAGGAGTAGGTGGAAATGTTTAAAAAGTAGGACTAAACAAAGACAAAGAGCTACAAAGTTAACAAGACCTTTTCTTCTGTTTGTCCTTGATTACTTTCTTCTCTGATGGCTGACTTCACAAAACGCTCTCCATCTTGAGCTTGCAATCATCATTTTCGGCTGTCGCTCTACTGTAATCGTCTGATACCTTGTGTGCGTCTTACATCAGCGACCATCTTCAACTGAGAAACAATTAAAGTACTCCATCTGTATTGTGGATCCCATTTTCTTTTATCCCATTTCTTAATTGCTTTACATATGGTGTCATAATGACTCCTTACTGGTCATAAAAAGCTACTTCACATGATCATCTAAATGAAGTCATTTCAAGCATGCATCACCAGTGACAAAAACACAGTCATCCCATTCTACCATTACGCAGACTTATTGTGGAGGAAGAATTAAAAGACTGCAGCTGTTCAACTGGGATTTCGTTTAAGTTTGACCCTGTAAGAACACCTAAAGTGTCTGCTGTTTTAAAACAGATTTGGGCTCATTAAACAGATTAGACTCAAGTACAGTAAGTATCTGAGTTTGATAAGGCTTGTCCCTGAGGAACAGAGAAAATGAAAAACACTCTGCTTAGTTTGAAAAATCCACATATAAAATGTTTCTATAAAAAGAAAGTCGGGTTAGTTTTTAGAGGCAAGGTTTCTCCACAGCAGAGCTGAGTTCAGGTGGGTGTTATGCATAAATGACCACCAGTTTCTAACTCTATCTGATTGCTGAAATGAAAGCATTCCCTTCTGTTTCCTCAGCTCCACTACATCTCTTGGTCTTCTCACAAGTACATTCCAATTTGATCGTGCCCCCCTACAGCACTTCTGTGTGATTAATATGACAAAATGATAACATAACACTGGTTTGTTCTTTTAAGTCATTTCTTGGTGGATTTGCTGCTGTGCTGAGGGTAATTATGCTGCTGAGACATCTACTGCCGAGCTCCAGGGGATTTTATAACCCACGGGCTCCATTAAAGTCACTCCTTGGATATAAAGGGAGGATTTCTTCTGCTGGACTGTGCTGTGTATAATAGAGTTGAGACGTTTGAACTTGACAGTCGGGTGCTACATGAGTGATGCACTGTTGAGGAGGCAGTTGGTGGTCCTAATCTTCTCTAACAGAACCACAAAAGCCTCTCAGGTCAGTTTCTATCAATGATTCATGGCAAGTAGTCTGACATGATGATTCTGCAAATATAGATTTATATCTGCTAGATTTAACAAGATTCTTTGTTAAAAGCGTAAGAATTTAGAAGCTGAATCAACATTTAGGAAATATATATATATATATGACTTAACATTTTTTGTTCATTTTATGCAATAATTCTCTGATATATTGGGGTGGAGTTGACATGACCAATATATTGGCTGTCACAGGTTCGAGTCCCGCTGATCCTACTTTCCTTTCTACATACTTTCAGAATAAAGGAAACTAGAGTCTAAAAATAATCTAATAAAATAGTAATTAACTGATATATCTGTCAAACATACATCATAAACCGAAATAAGAATATTTAGTTTTGAATCTGTGTCAAGTATAAATTGCTGAACGCACTCTAAATGTTAAACCGTGTATGTTTTTTCATAAAATATAACTGTTACTTCATGTCAAGCTTAAACCTGATTTAAATACCTGTTGCAGAATAAATATTACATGTGTTTATCATGAACCTATGTTGCTCAGAAAGTTTATATCCACTCTTCATGATCATTTCAATTATAATTTTATGACTCCTAAATTATAAATCATCTGACCCATTCTTGTTTTAGGGTGAAAATATACAATTCAAACATTGTAATATATTTTCAAAAAAAAAAGAAAAAAAAAAGCAAAACATATATAGGGCTAATGTCATGTTCCAAAAGCTTAATATTAGCTTGCTTTGTCCTTTTGTAAAATTTGTGTTGATAGGATTTTGGTCCTGGTCCTGTTGGAATACACAATTACTTCATAAATTTCAATCATTTATGTGTTGGGATTTGAGAAAAAGTTAGTGTCCCTTTTAGTGTCCTTCATCTTGTATGGTGTTTGCGATCACAATACATCTCATAATTTTTATCAAAAGGTCTTCATATTTATGTGATCTGATGATGTTTTTTTATTTTTCTATGTGTGGAGCTGCAGCCTTTTAGCTGAGCTGTGCCTATTGGTTACTGGAGGGTCACAGATTGGGTCAGATGGTCTCTTTGGATTTTCCAACAGGACAATCGTCTTAAAATAAAATAACATTCGCTTTTGGATCAATCAATCTGGTGACCCAACTTTAGGTTTCTGAAAAAGTCTTGACCTAATTAATATCTAAGATTAATGGATTATGTTTGAATTAAATTGTGCTGTGAAACTGAAATGAACTGAAATTTTAACTAAACACTTTTGAAGGTGTACGTATATTTCAAACTAAAATCCAAAACTAAAATTTTGCACATTATTCCCATTATGAATAATTCACTCTGCTACAATTAGACCCCAGAAAATACACAGATAAAATAAATCAGCTCAAAATCATGAAAGTTCACCCTCATAAATTAGTAAAAAAGGTTTGACCGGAAAGGCTTCTCTTAAAAATCTTTTGGATAAAACTGACTAATGAAATTTATTTTGAATTTATTTTTGAAACAGTAAAAGTCCAGTGGATCACCTCTGCAGTTTTTGTGTATTTTGAAGTTAGTGGACTTTCTATTTGCACAAATCTTATTCATTATTAGTCTGAATATTAAATAATTTTCCATTTAAGGTCAGTGATTTGCCATGCAAATCTAGCAACATGCATCTATTAATGTTACCATGAGAATGGAGTTATTATGCTGATTAAATCCTTTGATTCCCTCATGCGTGTTTTATTTACTGTAGTCTCTAAACATCCAATTCAACTCAATATAAATTTACACTCTAAATGTCCCTTTTATATGTGCATTTGAAAGCCACTTACATTATGGTTATGTTGATCAGTTCCTTGAAGGCATGAGTAGGAACGTGTTTCAGGGGCAGCCGGGTGAGCCTTCTGCAAGATTCATGAGCAAAGCAGTTAAATCCACAGCCATGCTGCAATGTTTTCAAAGTAAAGCAGAAAAAAAAATAGGTAGCAAAAACGTCTCATTTTATTACTCTACATTTGTTAAATAAAATCCGTTTTCAGAGAAACTTTACGGTGATGGTAAAATAAAAAGTAAAGCTGAGGAGGGGATGGACGCAGCAGAGAGTAAAAGTTTATGAGATGTCTTTAAGTGTCCAGACAGTTGAAGCAGACAGTTAAGTTACTTACAGTCGCAGCACAGATGTTGCTGCGGTCCCGGAGGCCAGCTGAGTGTGTCTGCTGCACTGAAACGTGTCTGCGCTGCAGCGGCAGATGGCTGGACAGGTATAAGCCCAGCAGGAGCGCAGCTTCAGGACGGTGGACAGCGCGACCAGGAGCCAAACCGCCCGGGGAGCCATGTGTGACACCGAGCCAGAGCTCACTGCAGGATAACAATCATAAAAAAAGAATATTAACACAGAGAAAAAAAACCCTGAGGAGTCTTTCAGAAGTTTGGAGATAAAATCAACCCTCAGGGTGGCTTTATCTTACCAGGCCAGGGGTACAAGGCTGAACAGTCTCTCTCCCTTTCTCTTTTTTTCTTTTTTTTCCCACACAGAGCTTGGATCAGCCGCTGCCTTCAGTGTCTGTAGTAATTGTGAGGTTACTCACCCTGTGAGAGTCTGATCTGGGTGAATACCTAACCTGATTTTTCTTTGACAGCAGAGCAACACTGATGTGACGTTTGGTGGGTGGTGAGCGTGAAAGTTGTTCAAGAGGATGGGATGAAGTCACTTTGCTCTAATTAAGCAAGAGAAGTGACTTTATGCTGTTTTCAGATGTGAGGTTAAGATTACTAGGCTTTCCATTATTAGCAGTAAAAGTCTGTTATTGCTAGAATATTGCAGAAATTTACCATTACCAAGATTTTGATATCATGTTGGATTTTAAAACCGTTTCAACTGGGTGCAATTCTTAAAGGTAGATTTTACTCCAGTTTAGAAATGAAGGCTCACACAGTCTCAGACATGTATCCTTAGCGGTCTCAAGAGTCCCTCTATAAGTTGTTGGGAAATCAGCTTATTACTGGCTGGATCATGACCTCTCTTCTTATAAAGAGTATTAAAATATGTTGGTTTTCTGGCTAACTTAGGTTTTTGAACATAGAAGATACATTTTCTGTAGGTTTGATGTATTTGCATTCCACAAACTGCAATCCTACTTTATTCATTCCAACTCAGTGGTTGGCACGCTCTAAGGCTAATACATTCATTATGCTTCACTGTGGAAGTGACACTAGAGGCTTCCAGGGTATAGATTTGAGCCTAAGTGGTTCTTCGGCTGTTCCTGAACATTCTAATCAGTTTTATTCCATCTAAGTGTGACAGTTTGGTTTGGATAATTAAAACAGTTGAATGTTGCAAGACGACAATAATCCTAACCAAAATAAAATAAAAATGTTAACATTCAATTTTCTGCTACACTTTCGTATAAGTTGTGGCACCAATCCTAATAGAATTAAGAGTTAAAAGCCAAACAAGTCTGGATATTCTTTGGCATTAACTCCAAGTAAACGCTAAAAAAACCCCAGATTTTTAACACGCTGTTAGGTTCTCAGCATGAAAATTGACATTTAAATCGAGTTTATAAGCAATAAGCTAATCAAAATGCATCATTGCTTTTACTCTTGCACTTTTACATCTTACATCATTAGAGACAACACAAGCACAAACCAAAGTGCCATATGTGCTGTTTTGTCAAATACAAAGCTTTGTGTCACTAGTGTAGTTAGTTTAATCTCCTCTGCTGTCAGCGACCCTGACCCCATTTACTGCTGTCTCATCCTGCTTCGCCATGCCGCTTTGACCCGTGTCAGCAGAGCAGCAACACTGTCTTCATACTGACGCAGTGCAACAACACACACACACACACTGATACTCCCAGTTCCTTGGAGAGGTTACAGCCCAGTACTGTTTACCAAGACTCTTACATTCCCTACAAGATTTACAGCAGAGCATACTTACTAAGATGCTCCAGTACGCTTAACCCTGTGGAGCAAGGAAGCTGGGACAGAGGGGGGCTAATTTATGCGAGTGGACTTGAATCTGCCCACGTCTTCCTGCTAACCACCACGCTGTGCATCACTTCGCACCAAGAAGGTCATGCACAGCAGGGAAAGACGATTGAATTTGGAAAATCAAAGCTGCATCACCTCACTATGTCATGCTTGCTTGGGAGACAGCAGAAAATAAGCTGTTATGCCTTTTGTAACAGCTGCTCTGCATCAGTTGTTACACTGATGCTATGTACCAGCTTTTACCAGCTATATTTGATTTATAAACAAAGATGAGGCTCAGTGCCTGATTTCTTATTTTTATTTTGACCTATTAAGTAAAATTAAGCTTTTAAATGTTTTATCTATGATTAGTTCAGGCAGCTTTAATTACATTAAAAATGTTTGAGATAAAGAACCTACTGGGATGGGGTGGGGGAGTGGGAGTATTTCCATTTTGTTTTCTTTACGTTCAGGGCCTGTGTTGTCACAGTGCTTCGGTGACACAGTGGTAAGCATACATGAACCATGTACGGAGGCTTTAGTCCTCAACGTGGCCGATCCAGGTTTGTATCCGACCTGTGGTCCTTTGCCGCAAGTCTCTCTCCCTCTTTCCTGTTAGCCCACTGTACATATAACAAGGCACTAGTTGTAAATACCTAGAAGAAAAAAAGAAAGATTTGCGAAGCATCGCTATGGCCTACTTCTACATTTAGACAGTGATGGATTGAACGGTTTATTAATTATCTACATGGATGGATATACACTCCATACCATTAGATTCAGTGTTTTGAGCTGACTGTGGTATGAAAAATGATCAAGAAGTTCAACATATTTAAAGACTTTTGCAAGGAACTGTAAAATAAAACGAACACCATAGGGCATTTATTTAGGTTTCTCCTCTCAGGTAGACAGAATTAAAACAGGAAAAAAAAGATGACGTTGGCAGTGAGGAGCTCAAGGTCAAGCATAGCTGCAGCCACAACATTTATAATGAGATGGACTAATCCAGAAATGTGTGGGTGTTCCATAATATGCAACAGGCATGATTGCAAACTCACTTTTCCCTTTACCTGCTTTTGTTACCATTGTTGGAGGTTTCTTTTATTTTTAGTGAACAGCTTTTTCTTACCTCTGGGAGGAAGGCTGTTGACCTGTCAGCTTCCTGCTGGTTATCAGAGCACAAAAGCCGACAACAAGAACACGAAAAGTGATGCCCTGCAAAAGGAGACGGTTCAACACCAGCCAGCATTAAACTAGATGAGACAATTTTAAAAATAGACTAAAAGCAAAGTACACAATACAGAAATAGCTCAATCAGTGGAACACAAGGACAGAGTCAGAGCAAACCTGAAGTCATTAGAAGGAGCCATCGGTGTCAAACACTGTTTACTTTCTGTTTCCACACAAAAACTTGACATTTCAGGGAGAAAGTTCAACAGCAAGCACACATCAGTGTGGTATTTGAGGTAATTGGCAGCAGGAACACTGTGTATGTTCTTCTGAGAGTCCTTTTTTGTCTTATTCCTGACTACTGTTTCTCTGTCAGACTCAACAGATCCAAAAACTAACAAGAGTTTTCTAAGCAGGGCAAATAACATCCAGGGCCAAGCAGCTTCTGCTCACCCTGTTCCTCTCAATGTCATCATGCTGATATACTCATACTGTTGTGTGTTGCTGCAGTTACTTAATTGATCTATACGTTTAAGAAAAGCCATTTAATCTAAACATTACTAGGAAAATAGGAATAGCTGTGAAACATTTTTAAACTGATTTTCCTGGTATTGTTGTAGCTGTAACAGGTATAATTGTTTATCCCTAATTTCTCAGAAGTAAAATAAATGAGTCCTTATTTACATAGCAGACTAGCAACCTCCAGATCAACCACAGCTACTACATGTGGAAACTGTAAGCTCCATTTTGTAAAACGTCTTTTGCATAAAACCTATTTTCTTTGAGACGAAGCATCCAAGAGAAATGGTCCCCTCTCAAATATTAAGACTCTTGACTTGACCACTTTCAAAACACAAAAAAAACCCTGGCTCATACAGCAGCACCGGTATGGCCATTACAAATTAAATGCAAAATGATGTAAGTGTATATGAGGCGTGCACTTGTTTGAATTTGAGTGGATGTGTTTATTTAATCTAAGTGATGTTGTTATTTTTATCTGGTTTCTAGACATTTCTGATCGCATTCATGGTAATTGTTTTTGCTTTGTATTTAACTATTTAAAGTACTTCAAGGGAGAGGTTTTGCCAATTATCCATAGATATGAGCCTTATGATACAGCCATGATATTATTTCATGAGCTATGTGTCTTTTTCTGTCCCTACCAAATAAACCAAATATAAAAAAACTTTTCCTGTGAGACATTATAGCTGGCAGTCAAACATTCAAAAACATCTTAGAGAAGCAAAGTTAAACTCTGCCTCACATAACAGTTTTTTGATAGTTAAATTGTGGTCTTATCCGGCCGAGGCACCTTCTTTGATGTTTGCTGTATCCACTACAATACTATGGATAATTCGACTAGAGCAACCAGGTTTAAAACCCAATTTGTGAAGTTAGCAATGAAAAGCTTTTTTGCAGACCGGTATGCTTGCGATACAAGCTGGATTGTCCGAGATTCGAGTTTAAGTTTCACAAGAAATCCATCTTGAAAGGCTCCTGCTAATACATCTGTCTCTGAACAACAAGCGAGTCATACTAATGACATGCCAGCAGTTTTTCTTTTGGGGCGGGACATGTAAGAATGGCGACAGTCAGAGGGGCCTTATTGGGGCATTACAAACATGGGTACACTGGAGGTTTTAGCTAGAATAGCGACAATTTCTCATTTTCAAAAAGAAGCAAAGGAAAGCACTTTGTGCATTTGTAGGTGGGAAAGATATCTGCGCATTTTTTATTTTGACAGTATTTGGAAAAAGTTAAATTTATCTGCTTACGAAATGTCATGATTCGCTGATACGATTGGCTGAAAGTGTATTATGGAAGGCGGGTACTAGCTGGTACGTCACCCAATAAGTTTGAAGTATAGTACTAAATGTCAGTCCTTTTCATGGACTGAACGACAGCCATCCCAGATTGATAAAGTAGAACTCAACTCAGTTCTACACATATCATTCTGACTACTGCCAGGTCAGGGTTGTGGATCTTTGCAGCCTTTCCAGAGTTTATATGCCCCTTTTGGGCGCTTCTCTTGTTAGTGTTCTACTCACCAGGCTTGTCAACTTAAGTGGATAACCATTCCTGGGTACATCTGCCCCTGAACTATGCTTTTTTTTTCATTTCAAAGGTCAGACTGGACAGGGCTTAACCAACTGATCAATAATGTTCAATAATGCTTTCTAGAACCTCTAAGACCCT